CACTCTCTCTCTCAAAATAAAGACACAAAAATTAAAAAAAAAAATTTTTTTTTAAAACAAACAAAAAACCAACCGTGAGATCATGACCTGAGCAAGTTGGATGCTTAACTGACTGAGCCACCCAGGTGCCCCTCGTATTGTCTAACTCTTTATCCTACTTTAGTTTCTTTATAGCATTTACCATGTCTGAAATTTATACACTTGTTTATGTGTTTTGTTGTCTGTTTCTGACAACTATAACCAAAGTTCCAGACAGTAGATCCTCTGTCTACCTTGTAGACTGCTTTGACCTAATACACAAATGCTCAACAAATATCTGCTTATATTTGCTTATCAGTTTATAGAGGGAAAACTTTTTCTAACTTTTGGCTTCTGTGAATTTAAAAAAAAAAAAAAAAGGGAAAAAACCTGATTCAACATAAAGCAACTCTTAGCTCATTCAAATTACCAACAATGAAGGAGAAATTTTGCTAAAAGTATACAAAATTTCTATTTAAATAAAAATTGTAAATACTTAAATTCTTGTGCGAGACCCTGAGATCAAGCCTGAGCTGAGATCAAGATTTAGGCACTTAACTGACTGAGTCACTCAGGTATCCCAATTCTTGTGTGGTTTTAAATTTAATTGGAATAAATGATAATCATCATAGCTGTTACTTATTTACACTTGCAGGCATGATGCTCAAGTCAAGTTCATACAGTATGTATCTTATATAATCTTCATAATAAAATCATGAGGCAGATATTAACATCATGGGCGGGGTGGGGGAAGAAGGGGAGGGGCCAATCAAGGCTCAGAGACATTCAATCACTTGCAGTAACTGAAGTGGAGAAGCTCCACTTTGATCCAAAGCCCATGTTCTTAACCATTACACAGACTGCCTTCCCTAATTGAATTGGGTGGATATAAGCAAACAGACGCAAGACAACTTTGCTTTTAATGAAGTACTTTGGGATATCCTTAGATCAGTAATCTCTTCTAAAAAGAATTACCCCAGAAAAGCCCAGCATTATTTGCAGCAAATAATTAGAGACTCTGTAAAGAAAGAAGGTTTATTGTGTTTACTTCAGTCTTGGCTTCTGAAACATCACACCATGTCCTACCTGGGCAGCCTCATAAGTGATGGTCTTGGTCTCAGTGTGAACAATAGGGACATCTTTGGTTGGGATTTCGCTTTTCAAAGCACTGGCAGTATCTGAGATGGTGACAGTCTGAGTCTTCACCAGGGGAGGCTGTGAAGCAGTAAAGAAACAGAGTTACCAGAGTCTTCTGAAGGCTACAGAGAACTAATCTTCTGACATTGATCTGATCAAAGTGGTAGCTGTAATCAAGCAAAGGGCTAGCTGAGTCTCTGCCCGAGACTTGGACACTATTCCAAAGTAGCCTTGACAAGGTGTCAAATCATGAGGGATATTAAAAAACAGCATTACTGTAATCATTTTCATATGCTTAATGGAAAGCTGTAAGATCAGACAGTTATGATCGGTGATATAAAACACTTTAGACTGACCTTCAGAATTTGAATATAAAACTGTTTGCCAAACAGCAGTCACTTTTGTTTGTCCTTGTGACTGTGCCATTATAATTAAGAAAATCGGTCGCATTTCCTCCACTAACTACAAATGGTACATGAAACAGCAGTGGCATTGGAGTGCATTATCCTGGAATTCATCAACTTCTTTCAAATCAATGTCAGACATTCACTTTGGAGTTCTTGAGAAGAAAAACAGTATTTGGAAAACTGGAAAGAAAATAATCACTTCTACCACCACCTGGTGATTAATCTCAGAATTTCAGAAGAATGAACATTAGTAGAATATCAAAGGCTTCTTGTCCATCAGCTCCCCTTCCAAAGTCTATGAATCACCCTAAAACTACCACTTGATTGTGATAAAGGTAAGTGGCCATCCACCTTAGCATAGGAGATTAGTGCCTATGAGCACGGAAGTCCTTGTGAGTGGGGTCAGTGGGAGTGGTGGGCTATACTATGCGGCTGCGATGCATAAATCATTATTTGGGGTCTGAAAGCACATAAACAAAAATCAATTGCTTCTTTTAATTAAGAGTATTCGAATCTTTTGAGCATGGCCTCTGAACACTTAATGGCTCTTCATCATGGAAGTCTCAGAAATTTACCTCTTTATATAGCCCATACTTGAACAAGGGAAAGAGGAAGCCACTTACACCAGCTTCATAAAGATAAACAGCTGGAATTCACCCCCAAGAATTTTGTTACGTCATCAGGGGAGAAAGCATTTCTAGCCACGGAGTTAGTCCCTCTGAATACATTTATCTGTAGTAATCGAGGGCTTTAATTTTATTCTGTGATTCTGAAGAAAGCAGAGAGGCCACTGCCCTCATCATCACCACCACCACCACCTCCTCCACACAGCAGATTCTGGCCCTCTCCCAAAGTGAGTCATTAGACCTGCATCATTGAAATGGTTACTACCTGGAAACTTCGAATGAGGGTGGGGAACTGGTTACCCACACGAGAGTCAAGAAATGATCCATTGTGCTTTCCAAGTGGCTCTCCTGGTGTAACATGTTCTTCACTACTCTCTGCCTTATTTTCACCAAGTTGCAGCTGAGAGGAAGCTGGTGATACTGAGAACTGTAAGACACCGGCCTGTTCCTCCACTCCTATACATTCCCCACTTGAGCCTCCCGGCATTTCCTTAATATCAAGATAGCCAGCTGCTCCCTGCTCCTTCTCTTCTGTCTCCTTGCTGCTTATGGAGAGGAAGCCAAACTCAAAGCTTTGTGGAGACTCCGACGGGGTGGTCATTTGGCTCTTACTAGGAATTAGTGAATGCTTGGGACCATCCCATTCAGAGTCAGGGCTGGTAGATGGCCCCTTTGTCACGGCAGCCACCTCCTCTGTGCGAATGCCGTTTATATTCTACAAATGAATGAACACATACAAAAGCAAGAAGATTAGGAATAAGTGGGGAATATTGTGAACTCTGAGAATCAACAATGATTTTTAAGAGGTCTAAAAAATATTACTACTAATACAAACCAAGAATCTTAGCTCCTGAGGTAGCCAAAAGGAAAAACTGCTGTTCACTAAACATATCCATGGCTTAAGCAGTTCCAACCTCATTTTGGTCGTATTTCTGTAACACTGGTAACCCGTGAAATAATTGCGATGTGCCTCACAGAGGACCGAGCACTTTGTATTACTGTGATCTTCCCTGTGTAACACATACTCTTCACACTTAAAAGAGTTACTTTGCTATTCCTAAATACCTAACTCATTACTATGCACAGGGAACTATGCAATTTATGAGCCAATCAAAAGATACTCTCCAGTAGCCTGATCAGGTTGAAAAATGCCTCATTATCTCCAAGCCATAAATATCATCATATTAGCCCCTGAGGGAGAAGCTAACATCTTGACTTTAGACTAAAAGGTTCAATACATCCAGAACGAACTTAATGTAACCACTGTCATGACAGTAAATATCAAAAATAGTGAAGTGTTTCTTCACTGTAAACAGTGACCCAGCAGCTGAGATATATTTCTTCATAGATGAATGACATATCTCCAACCCCTAGGAGAAGTAAGTCCTGGAAACAGTTCCCTCCTGGGCTAAATGCCTCACACCACAGGAAAAAGATCTAAAATAAGTACTTCCAAGAGAATGTGGATGACAAGATAACATCACTGTGGATGCACATAATCCTAAAGTTTAAAGAAAGTTTCTGTGGGTAGAAAGGAAGGAATTCACATCAGTAAAAAACGAATATGAGTCATTTGAAAAACGAAGAGTCTGACAGAAGCCAAATGTCATAAAAGTAAACATCTGCGTGTGCTCACCAGAAAGCCACTTAGGCCTGGAATTTTGGTTCAGATCAACTTACCATATTCCATACCACCTAGCAACTTAATAACTGAAAAGGACTCTTTTAAAAAGGTATTCCTGGAGTAAATGACACATGCCTCGTTCAGCTTACACATTTTCGTACTCAAATCATGTTACATATATCATATATTTTTTAAAAAAACCACTGCTAGTCCTTAACTTGTAAACCAACCTACATTGTGATGAATACAAACCAGTGCCCTATTAAGGCAAGAAAAGATGCACTGCTCGAGAACCTCAGGCCAACTTCACTTCTAAGCCATCTTGAAACAGTCAACTCAAGAGCATCTCAGAGTGGTACAAGTTGAATTTCAATTAGGCAGGTCTTTTGTGGACTGATTTGAGTATTACTTAGGGCATGAAAAACAGGACTGAGAGATGACAACAGCAACTGCCTCTGTCTGCAGATGAATCAGAGATACACAAAATCTTGCTAAGGGTATTTGAATTCCCTCCTATTTAAAATGAGAATAACACTTGGTTTGACTCATGAGGTCTGAAGATCAAATACGGTAATAAATGTGAAAGCCCTTGGTAAATTCTTTTTTTTTCAATTTTTAATGTTTATTTATTTTTGAGAGAGAGAGACAGACGGACAGTTTGTGAGCAGGGGAGGGGCAGAGAGAGAGGGAGACAGAATCTGAAGCAGGCTCCAGGCTCTGAGCTGTCAGCACAGAATGCAATGCAGGGCTCGAACTCACGAACCACAAGATCATGACCTGAGCTGAAGTCAGAAGCTTAACCGACTGAGCCACCCAGGTGCCCCTAGCACTTGGTAAATTCTAAAGTACCAGATAGATTCACTTAATTCAACCAACATTCTAAGCTCCTATAATAGTAAGGTCTGGGGACACTAAAATAAATTTGTTATTATTTACACACTGTATTACTTTCTAGGGCATTTATCTCACCATTTCTTTGGAGTCAGACAAGCTGTTAGAGCTGTCCAAAAATAGATCAGCTGCTAATAAACAAATAGGCTTTCTCAAATTGCTATATGCTACCTCTAGCACTGTGAAGAGCATATCCAAACCCACTCACATGGAGAAAAACTTCATGGCTTTTCCAAACAAATTTGTCACAACTGAGGAAGACTTATAACCAGGAAAATACCTAAGATAAACAAGTAAGAGCCTATTTTATACCAATAGGTATAAGTGACACGTGGTGGTCTGTCATCAAGAAGCCATTTGTGAATAAACATTGTTAGGCCAGCAACACCTGGTCCAGAGCTGCCTACTGTTGAGTAAAATTAGAGCAATCA